TATTAGTAAACATTGTTCACAAATTCAAATATGACTCATAGTTTCATGAACGAGAGACACGTTGATTTGTGAACAATGTTTACTATCACTTTGTCAGATGAAGAAATGACTGAAATAAAAGTTGTAGATCTTGATGAATTATACAACTTTGGAATTTATCACTTTTTTAGCTGAAGGTTAGAGTGAGTGACCCAAAGAAGAAGGGGGCTGTAACCATTTATACAGTGGACATTTATAGGGGCGGCTGGTGATTGAGCCGCCCTTATAAATCTAACAGTAGGGGCGGCTGGTGAATGAGCCGCCCCTACAAATCTACCCATTTGTAGGGACGACTCGTATCACCAGCCGTCCCTACTGTTAGATTTGTAGGGGCGGCTAAAATCATGGGACCCGAGCTCACCCACTGTAGAGGCGATTGGTGGTGTAGCCGCCCCTAAAAAAAACCGTTGCTAAAAATCGTTTTGGTAGTAGTGTTTGTAGAGGGATTTCTTTATTACTACCGAGACTTCTTGCTCTATGATGGGAGCATCTAGTTCATCCAGTTCAAAGGCCTGGTATCCTGATTCTTGCCAATTAAGGGACACGGAGTACTTCTAATCGATGTCCAGCTCGATGTCTAGCTCGATCGTAGACACAACACCATATAATACATTTAATGCCAAAGTCTTAAGTGATTACACACTCGTTTATAATTACAATGTCCAGCTCGATGGTACACACAACACCACGGTACTACTTTTAGTGCTGAAGGCTTAGATGATTTCTTTGGCACCTGAAGTGAGCATATACACAGGGTCTATTTGGTATACCTTATAAGGACATGGCCAACCCAAGCTAACAAAGTAACGGTTTCAAATTCTGCACCAAATCGACACAAAAAGTTGAGGCATTCTCAATCTCGCAACACAACTGCTACTACCATTTACATCATTTCTTCATCCGCAGAAATGTTGTTTTCATCATCTTTTGTTGCAGTGCCACTGGCGCAATAGCAGCCACTTTTGGCTCCAACGCGTGAAACCACTACTCGAAATTACGTGGACACTACAAGCTAACATGGAAGTTGGGGCATACGGACATGATGTCGCATCGGGGCTGCTCCAAGAGTCGACAGAAAATATGTCAGTTGGCTTCTAGTTTAAGCTAAAATTAGAAGCCAATTGACATTTTCTATAGCTTTTTCTGGATATGCTTCTCCCCAGTCCTTTTTACTAAAAAGTAGGAGTTGGATCAAAATAGTTTATCCTGACTATGTTTTTTTATTTATTTGTGCAGCTTCTCAAATAAATTGTACCAAATAGGGCCAAATCCTCTCCACGGTCCCATTGAGGTCAGTTCTCATGGAATTTCCCCTGACAAAGGACTTATTGAGTATTCTTGAAGATATACCTTCCCTTTAAAAAATATATCTATGAGATATAGTTGTTCTGGAATTGTATCCATCTGTCCTCACTTATCTACATGACAAAGAAACATATATCCTTAGAAATAAAAAGAGAATCCAAAGGCTAGCGCTAGGAAAAAAGTTAATTAACTGATGCGAATTGGGAGAAAAAGTCACTACACTAGGAACCATCGTGTCACTACATAAACACACACGCACAAATAAGCAGCCAAGCAAATATATATAACGAAGTCTGGGACCCAAATATTATCATGAAACTTTCATCACTGCTCAGTTCGTGCTTAGAGGTGCAGTGTCTTAAATCATACAGCAATTTCTTTGCATCAAACGTGTTGTATGATGCTGGTATAAATAAATTTTAGTTAATTTGTAATATCACTAATTAATTCCAAATATTTAGTAAGCCTTCAAAACTTAAAATAACTTAACTCAAATTTGGCAAGCATATGTTGCACCCTAACTCCTGCCAATTTCAGATGGAGACACTATTGATTTTAGAGACACAACAAAAAAGGGTCTGATTTGCACATAAATATATATATGGACTTAATAATAATCTGAGCCAGCAAACTTTACTTACAAAACAGTATCAAAACATAGGTTTTTACCTTTCATGGATAGCCTTTTGTATTTAGAATTGTCATCTAAGTCAAACTTTGTGAGTCTTTTGTGGATTCTTGTGCGCTTGTTACTGTCCATGATAAGTGAGGCCTAGTTCTTCCTCCATGAAGAGGACGATGAAACCAGAACATTTTTCCCTTATAACTTGTCCTGGTTTTGTTGGTACTGGGGAGCTTTGCTCCACAGTTTTCGATCAAAAAAAAGTAGAGATTGGTGGAGCGTTAATCCAACGCTCATTTGAATTTCGTGGTCTGCTATATGATATAATAGTTGACTTCTATATCCCACGTCCCGTTCCTCACAACAATGATTGGTGGCCCAATTCCATGAACTTGACTATGTGTTGATAGTCATTAACCTCCAAATCTGACCAGCAACTCCTCCATAAAATGACAAAAATGAACCAAGCTCTCAAGAAATCTCTCCACTCAAATTTGCTTAGTTGAGATTGCATTTGGGTGAGATTGGAGTTGATCTAATGCATTGGTATTGAGAGTTTGCATCCAGTGGCACGAGTGATTGTTGAGGCTACGAGATTCTTGTTACTCTTGGTAGTTGTCACCACCTAGACGGCTTGGAGCAGCAGTGATCCTTTGAAGCACTCAATTGGAGATTGTGAGGTTCTCGAGATTCGATTATGAAAGACTCTTGTGCTCATCCCCACCGACAAAGGCAAAGAGAAATTCTAGTGGATTCGAGGCTGTTTGTGTACCTTATGATCAAGCTGGCTCATAGTCTAGCGCTCACGTTGGAGCCTACCTTGACAGGTAGTTGAACTAGCGGATGGGCGGTGTAGCTTAGTTGCTTTACCTTTGCTCGTTGTAATTGTGTTGGACCTCTTTAGTTGCCTTGCTAGTTGTTAGCTTTGCCATTAGTTTTGTGTAGGGGTGTTCTTGTTAGACTAGGCTTGACTAGTGCTTATTAGGGCCACCTGATTGTCTAACAAGTGTTGTTTGTGTTACCTTGTATAATTTTTTAAAAGATTATTCACCCCCTAGCATTCAACCTGTCTTTACACCTCCAAAACCTCCTGCTCAGCAAAAGGGGCGTCCAGGGAGCCTAGTTCAAGGTTGCTGAAGTTCAGATCCTCCACTCCCAGTTGATCGAAGTCCACAGCCGCGCTGAGGCCCTGAGGGTTGTCCCATGACTCCCATTACTCTAGGAAAAATATTCATGCGCCACTTGTTCTTTTTTCCTCATGCGAAATTGCCCAACCTTGGTCCCTTTGCAGCTTGGAATGATTTTTTTCTCTGCTAGGAAATGATTTTTAAGTGAAAATACTTGGAATTTGCCATTTAGTGTCATACAATAGCAATTTGCTCCATTCTTTCAGTCGCCGTGCAGTGCTTGAAAGCCTGTAGTTGAGACGGTGGAAAGGTTCAGAATGTGGGTTATGCAGTATGCTCCGTCTAGGCCATTTGGATTACTTGCTGAAAACCCGGCATATGAATCCAAAAGTTTTCAAATTTAAATTGTTTTGGCCTTGGCGGTCCACTTTGATTTTCGAGAGATATATGAGTGTGCTGTAGACAGAGGCCCCATAGGATATGTGCGTCGAAGGATAAATCCCAATCCTCACTGCAGAAAACATGGTCTAGGCGTACGAGAGTTGGGTTGCTTCGTTCATTACTCAAGAATATTTTCGATTCTGGAGATGTCATTGAGCATTTGTGAAAAGCTGAGCCATAAGGTTTCTATTGAGGTTTTCTGTTGTTTTTGTCCCTTGCTCGATAGATGAGGTGGCCATACACAGACACACATTAACTCTAAAATCTGTGCCACACTCTTTTATCTGAACAACAATAGCTGAAATAGAGTGTCTTGTGGTCGAGATGCCAGTAAGCTCTCATCCCAACCCAAAGCAACAGGATGCCCACACGCGTGCGGCGTGCCCAATGGGCTGGTGGCAACATTCGGTAGCTCCCCAGGCATGCAGCAAGGATTTCGTGCACAGTGTCTCTTCTGGCTTCATATTTCAGTCCTATGGACATTCCAACAAGCTATGTTGATGTTGGGGCTAGTCATGAAAAGCAAATATGGATAGATGTCTCTCAACAAAAGATGCAAGTGACGCGAAAGCGGCCGCAGCACACAGCTCATAGAAGATGACAGTGAACCAAGGCAGGCACGGCTGCTGCAGCTGGGTAACAGTAAACCAAAGCACGGCAGCAGCCGCAGCCTGCAGCAACAGCCAAGAAAAAGACAGCCGATCAGGTAGCTGAAACATATAGCAGATCAGCAGATTGAAACACATCCATTGATGCAACAACACACAACAGTTTGAAGAAACACATGTTTTAGTTGGTACTTGACGATCCAGTACATATAAAACACAGCAAGCTGCTATGCTAGTGAGCAGCAGTGAGGTCTGTACAAGAGCTGCAAGCAAACAAAGAGCTGATGAAACGGACAGCACCATACAGAGATAGATACACAGGCACAGATCGATAACCACCCAGGCTGGTTTTAAGACCAGTCACTACTGAAATCTCCTGGAGCAGTTCTGTGGCTTCTGGTCCAGCGAGAGCATCGTCCACTTCAGGCCCCAGCAACGAGCATCCCTGGCGACTTGCAGCTGGCCACGAGCATGTGAGCATCCACCGTCTTCTCCTCTAGGCCCTGTGCCTACAGCAAAATCAAGACAGAAGAAGCAACCAAAACAAGGAGAATTGATTGATTGAATCGAATGAATTGAATGCTGACTGAATCGAAGAACTCCTTTTGGTCAACCAGATCATCACCATCTTCAGCAGGGTCAATAGCTATATATGGACTGCGCCATGGGACTGAACAATAATGTGGCTCTTCTTGGCAACTAACATCTCAAACTTCCTCATAAAACGTCCATCCCTCCGGTCATGAGCATCCAACATCTTCTCCTCACAGCCCTGTGCCTACTACCTACAGCAAAACAAGACAGACTAAGTAGAAGAAGCAACCAAAACAAGGAATGGATTGACTGAATCGAAGACACCTTCCCTCCGACTACGAGCATCCACCATCTTCTCCTCACGGCATTGTGCCTACAGCAAAAAAGAGAAGACAAACGAAGTAAAACAAGCAACTAAAACAAGAAGAATCAACTGAATTCAATTCGTTAGTATTTCAGTTTGAAAAATCCTAATTGGACATCATTGCGGGTGGTGGCAGGCAAGCTCAGACGGGTTGGTGCAACTCCTCAACTCTGGCCACGGTGGCAGCTTACACCACACCAAAAAAAATTAAGTGACATAGGTGATAAGAACAACACTTTATACACACACAGACAAGAAGAATCACACATGAATCTGGTACTGAAGAACCACATCCTAATCACCTGATATACTTCACGAACAAAGAGTACCACAACATTATGCATTTCTATTAACTTCATCTGACAGGACATTATACTCTTTCAGTGTAGTAGCTAAAATACGATAACCACTAAACCTTCAGACTCTTTCAGTGACTTCACAGTAGCTAAAATACGATAACCACTAAACATTCAGAGCAGTGGCGGACGCAACTTTGTAGTATTGGGTGTTCAAAATATTATCTCTTTTCTTTTCTTCTCTTAATTAACTATGTCTAACTCTACTGGTAACTAATTTATATTTTTTAAAATAAAATGACTTTATGGACTATATAATACTCTTTTACAAATTCAAGGTTGTCACACAATATTTGGTGGCTGCTTTTATGTTTTCTGGTAACTAACTCATCATGCATGGCTTTGTAAGTATGGGATGGCCACTTAACTATATAGGTGTTTATATAGGCTATATGACGATACTCTATGGCAACCTTACACTTTACTATATTTATAGAATCTCTCTCATGCTTATCCATTTACTAGATAATTACCATCATGCAAAATATCCCAAGTCTAAAATATTCAATACTTCAGCCTTAAAGCATGGCAAACACGTCTTATGTTTTCTTGCCATTTATCTAGAAAGTTCCTCATGTGAATGTTGCCTATTGCACATGTGAAAGCAAACCAGTCACACCCAAATTTTTATTCTATGAGGATATTTTTTCCTCTTCAAAATATTTTTCCTTCTGTTAGAACAATGAAAGTGCATCTAGTCCCCCTAGTGGATTTTGAAAAAAATAAATAAGTGACTAATGAGTTTGATGGATTTTGGATAGGTTTCATTGCATCATATCAAACTCATATCAATAAAGAAAAGATAAGCAAATTGATAAAGCAAAATGAGATAAAGAGAAATGGGTATGATTTGATCCCCAACGATGGCTTTCTTACATGAATAAGAAGAGATTGATAGTTGACTAGTATTAATCAAGGTCAAAGAATGAATGAAAAACAAATAAGTGGAGAAATGGCAAACCAAAGTGCGTAAAGGAGAAGAGACATGAACTTATGCATATATATAGTCACATTATGTTGGCTTGCACCTACATTGTGGAATATCATTGAACTAAGCAACTTGACAAGCATAATATGGATATATAAAAAGGACATGTGTGTTGATGGATATCAAATGAAGTCTCAAATGTGAAGCTCGGTCAAGTTGTGCAATAATAAATCAATATAAGAATTGTTGAGTAGTAAGTTCATTGAAACAATCTAGTTCAAGCGAGAACAATGCTAATAAAGTGAGATTTCAATGTGTGTCTATTGGTGGTGCAAATCAAGATTGATTCAAGGTGGGGAAGATGAGTGAAGGAATGTACTAAGTTGGGCTTCGAGGTACTAAGCATAGATGAAGGGCAAACAACGGCTCGATGTCGAGGGATCAAGGAGTGAAGGAATGTACTAAGTTGGGCTTCGAGGTACTAAGCGTAGATGAAGGGCAAACAATGGCTTGACGTCGAGGGATCAAGGCTACGGTGAAGAAGCACTTGGGAATCCTAAAGGACTAATCAAGCCACAAGAAGTAATTCTTGGTGAAGCATCAAATCTATGTTATATCATAAGTGAAGTGGCTTGAAGCCATTCTATTAAGCTCAAATGTGTTGAAATGGTTCAAGTTACAAGCTTAAGGTGGATTTTCTCAAGAAGAATGAGACAAAGATTATTGCAAACCATTATGAAGATATATTGAGAAGAATTGACATATGAAAATATTGAAGACTCAAGTGCTAGAAATATATATGTCTTTTTTATCTTGAGTATATGTAAGTTGTACTATTTAAGAGGCATGCAATATGAACAATTTGAAAGTCTCAAGTGCTCAAACCAACCAAAATCTGAGTGCTAACATGAGATAAACACATGCCACAACACTTTCACTTGTTGGTCTTAGAGCTTGTATTCAATTGTGATGATTAGCCCTTTGAATTAATAAGCTTTCCAGGAAGTCCAAGATAATTGAAATTAGAGTTCAGAGCTAAAAGTTATGGTGTTTTTTGTAAAGTAACTTGTGCTGCTTTTTGGAGTTTTGGATGTTTGAAGCTTTCATTAGAAGTTCTGGTACACGCACTCGAAGTTAAGATTTTGCACAGTGGTCATAGGTCGGTGCAACTTCGGATATTCATTATTGCTATTTGGATTGAGCCCATTTGTTTTCCCAACTCTTATGTTTTTCTAATTTTAAACCCCAAACTATAAAACTTTGTAAATTTGTCATCTCAATTCTTTAGTCCATTCAATTTTGGCCTCTCAACTTGGTTTTGATAGTTTTCAGGTAATTTAGGCCCACCTACCAGCGTGGACCCACATATAATACACTCATCTCTCTTTTTTCTCACTCCCTTTCTTAGCGTCATCACCTCCACCTCCATCTCGTCCTCCCTCTCTTCCTTCCTCATCTATCTACCATCGTTGTTGCCTCTCTTTCTCTCCATCCGTTGCCTATAGCATGTAGGTCAGTAGGATAGGTGTGAGACTGAAGCACATGGTGGGTATCCACATCCATGCATGGGTGAGAGGAAGCTCTCTGATGGTCAAGGTTGAGCCCTATGAGCGAGGCATGGTAAAAGCGTGTGTTGTCCTCAGCGTGTGGGTCCATGATGAGATTTTTTCTGAGGGTGCATCCACTACTAATAGTACATGTAGCCGCCTGCCATTCCTTGTAGTACAAAGATGCATATCGTTGTATCGTTGCTCAAGATTCATGTATTCTCTCCATTGTCATCCCTGTCTTGTTCCTCCATGCTCCCACAATGGCTACCCGCTAAGCAGCAACATGCCACTGCTACTATGGGGCACTAGCAGGCAATAATACCATGTTGATGCCGGGATGCCCAAGATCCACTACAAACCTAGCCAAACATTATGGATAGTGCACGCACATTGGTTTGTCGTCTCTTAAGTTCCAATCCACCACAGGATGTTGAAATCTAGCACTGTCCCAGACTCCTAATTATAGCCAAGTCTTCAGTGAGCAACATGTGTACACAATGCTTCATCACTTTCACTTGATGTAAAGTGCATATGTGGATCCAGATATGTATGTGCATATATTGATTCATATTAGCTCTTTCCTTCCGGTCTTCTATGAAATCATCTTGGTAATTTGACCATACTTCATTATTGATTACAATATGTTTTTCTTCCTCCTCGATTATGAGCTGACTCGAGGTAGCAAACTAGCCGAATTGGACGTTTAACTTCTTATATTAGGATAAAAACCCAAAACAATATGCATGAATCATGTAGTCTTTATAGATGTATATATATTATTACTGGGCTTTAAGTGCCTACCGATTTATAATAAAAAGGTGGGCTAATAAACCAATATATTTCTAGTTACCTCAGCACTGAAGATAATCTGTCTTGACATGGTCACCTTTGCCATGGTCAAAGACAATATTTTAGAGAAATGGATGGGGATGATGTGGCTCATAAACCAGAAAAATCTCATAGATGTGTATAAAAAAACCTACGGTGGAGTAGCAAATTAATAATAAAATAAGCATCTTGATCCCAACCTTTATCCACGTCCCTCACTTCCCTCCTCGCGTTCTTTCTTCCCTTCGCCGCCGACACCGCGTGCTCTCTCTCTTTGTCTCTCTCTACGATGACTGGGTGGGTTACCGCCGCCACCGCCCTACCCCAGGTGGTGAGGCCTTAGCCTACCTCTTCGCTAGTGATGAGCACCCACCAGGTATTCCCACCCCTTTTCTCTTTCCTGTCTGCTATGCGAAACCGAGTTCTCGATGTTTTTTTAAAAATTTGAGTTCTCAAACTCTAACCTCAAACTATTTGGCTATTTGAGGCATACTAACTTCTAACCTTTTGGTAAAAATTATTGGGTGTACAGGTGTGGATTTTTTTATTTTTAATACTTTTTTAATAAATATTTTAATACTAACCGCTCCCAAAAAGTATTTGTGCAATCTGACCCTTTTGCTCGTGCCAGCGGCGCTGTCGCACCACATGCCCTGGTGTGACAAGCCATGCCATGCTGCCGTGCATGGTTGACCAGAGCTAGCGTGGCAGAGCGTGGGCCTCGCCATGTCACGCCAGCGAGTCCAGCGCGACAGCGCTGTCACGCCGATCCGCCTGGCGTGACAAGGCCATATAGGGTTTGGCTGGCCCGGCACACTTTCCTTTCTCGCTCACTCTCGCTCTCCCTCTCCTTATCACCGTGCGCTTGGGCGCCACCGCCGCCGCCACCCCACGACCCCGACTGCTCGCGTCATCTTCGCCCACGCCACCGGCGAGTTGAGCGGCTGCTCCTGCTACCCTCTCTCTCCCTCTCCCTTTGTGTGGTAGGGGAGTGGCTCTAGGGAGAGCAGGCAGGCTCCCCGCTTCCTCGGTGCCTTGCCGCCGCGGTGCCGTCGGCAAGGCTTACCCCAGCGCGCGGTCCACGACCTCCCTGCTCCGTGGACTCAAGTACACCGCCAGGTTGATCTTCCCCTCTCTTTTTCTTGATTTCTTGCCTCATTAGTTGCGTGACTAGGGTTAGGAAATTTGGGATATTATGAATGTTTTTAGCGTTGATTGTTAGTATTTGATGCGTAGATTAGGCTTAGGATATACTCTGCCCGTGGATTGGGCGTAAATTACGTGTTGCATGGACGTAAGTAGTTGATTCATGGAGGATTTAGATCGGTATGTTTGTTGCCTTTGTCAACATCACTATGAAGTTTGTGATATTGTAGTGTACTAGTGAATGCACACGATATATTTTTGAAATGTGTAGTTCTTGTTGGTGTTGATGTGTTCATTCGTATTTTGTAGATGGATTGGTTAGTGCGATTGTTTCATGGTGGCAAATAAAAGGAAATGGGGAGTTCCAAAGCATGCTCGAACATGTTGAGTTCTTTAGTGGACCTCCTACCTTTGATGCTTTGGTTAGCAAGTGCCAGAATAAATTTGGGTGGACACTAAGTTTGAGAGGTAGATTTGACTATGGGAAGGAACGGGCACACTATGTGTTGATGTCTTTGTCATGTGAGGATGAATGGAAGAACAACATAGAGGTTGTCAAGAGT